TCTTGTTACTCTTAACATCTCTTGTACCTACAACTCCAGGTGTGATTTGGCCTTCCTGATTTCACTCCTGCATGCCTGAGCAATATTTTTTACTCCTCCCTGGTCATTTGTCCAATCTTCCACTTCTTGTAAGCTTCTTTTTTGTGTTTAATATCAGCAAGGATTTCACTGTTTAGCCAAGCTGGTCGCCTGCCATATTTACTATTCTTTCTACACATCGGGATGGTTTGTTCCTGCAACCACAATAAGGATTCTTTAAAATACAGCCAGCTCTCCTGGACTCCTTTCCCCCTCATGTCATTCTCCCAGGGGATCCTGCCCATCTGTTCCCTGAGGGAGTCAAAGTCTGCTTTTCTGAAGTCCAGGGTCCATATTCTGCTGATCTCCTTTCTTCCTTGTGTCAGGATCCTGAACTCGACCATCTCATGGTCACTGCCTCCCAGGTTCCCATTGACTTTTGCTTCTCCTACTAATTCTTCCTGGTTCGTGAGCAGCAGGTCAAGAAAAGCTCTGCCCCTAGCTGGTTCCTCCAGCACTTGCACCAGGAAATTGTCCCCTACACTTTTCTGACAGACTCGTTCCACTGGGCCCACGAGCTGATGTGCAGGGCCCCGTGTGAGCCGTTCCTCGCCAGGGGCTCCCCGTCCATCTGCCACTGGTGCCGGGGTGGGGGGTGGGAGCGCAAGGAGCAGCTGCAGCTAACACTGGGCCCCTGCTGCTGGCAGGATGAGTTCAGCCCGGTCCCCGGCCGGGGGCTGTCTCGGGAGAGCAGGAGACACAGCGACAATAGTCAGAGAGAGAAATCCAGGGGGAGGGAGTCCCGCAGGTTAGCCCCACTCACACCTGGTGGCAGGGAGTCCCGTGGGTTAACCTCATTCACACTCGATGAGCAGCTGGAACGTCCCCTTGGTAGAGCTCAACTCGTTCTAGGCCCAGCACCTGTACAGCCCCCTGTCTCAGCCGTCACCTTGGGCAGCTCCAGCCACAGCTCATTCACCCCCATGGGGCGGGCGCCCCCAGCAGCTCAGCTCCCCATCACCCAGCCCAGCTCCGTGGGGGGGCTGCTGGCAAGGGAGCAGAGGAACCGCAGGGAGTCGCCTTCCCGGGCCATGAACTGTGAACTGTTGGCCACCAGGGTGCCGGGATCTGGGAACAGGAATAACAATAAACCACTTGCACCCTGAGCCAGCCAGTCCCTGCCTGGGGGCTGGATCGGGGCCAGCGCCCACTAGAGAGGAAAGGCCCAGTGCCCCACTCCCCACCCTCTAGCGATACATAGAAATAGCTGGGGGTCGCTCCAGTTAGCTCTGGATATGGTGATTTGCAGAGTCCTAACTGGAGCTGAAATACCCACGGCAACATATTAGATTGGAGAGCGCCCCCCACTGACCCTCTGCCACACGGCCTGCAGCATGGCGCCCCCTAGAGCCTTACACTGCACGTGCACACGCAGGGCCCGGCTGGCCGACCCATAGGAATTCTTCGCCCAGCACCGATACTCCCCAGCGTCCCCTCGGCTGAGATTAAGCAATTCCAGGTGCCCGGCCCCTCCCTGGCCGGTGCTCAGGGACTCGTTCCCCTTGGCCCAGCTCAGGGTGGTCTCGGGTCTGCTCCCAGCCTCACAGCTCAGGGTCAGGGAGTCGCCCTCCTGGGTCTCCAGAGACACAATGTCGCCCTCAGCTCCCCACACATCTGGCACTGGAAGAGACGAGCAGGCAGGTTAGGCCCCCCAGAGATCCTCTGCCAAGGAACCGAGATTCAGCCACCTTTGGGGTGGGAAACGGGGGCTGTTTGCATGAGGAGCCCTCGCCCAGTGTGGAGATGTAGCCAGCTCTGGGATTGGAGCACAATCCTGCTGACTCTCCATGGCAGCAGGTCTCTGTCGCAGAGATGGGTCTCCTCCCCACTGTCCAGCGCCCTCTACTGCCACCCTGGGGTCTAGACACAGAGGGAACCGGGCCCGTTCCCCCGCACCCTCCCCACAGTCCTGTGGCACCCCTCAGGCTCTCCCCTCCGGGCACGGAGCAGCCTGGCCTGATTGAGCCTGGCGCCTGGCCCTGAGCGCGGGCAGAGCGTGACTAGGAGGCCGTCGCTGATTCCCGGGGCTCATAGCGCGGCCTCTCACCGGGGCGTCCGTTCCTGGTAAGGGTCCCGGTGATGTTCGGGGGCCCGGACAGGTCTGTAACACAAACCAGACAGGGGGAATCAGGGGGACTGGACAGCACCGGAGGTGGGGGGGGGTGTCACTAGTGATCACTGAGCCTAGACATGGCCACTCGCTGTGAGCTCAGCTGCGGGATGGGAAAGTCCCTGAATTGACGTGACACAAGACCAGGGGCCGGGTTAGGGCCGCGCCGGGGAACCAGAACCGTGGGAAATGGAAACCCAAGGGACCAAAACTCGTTAGTCAAAATTGGGCCTCATTGGCAGAGTCACTAACGAGGGGCCGGGCTGCTTCCGCCTGGGTACTTGAGCGAGCGTCACCAGCGCCACTGTCTGCCGGGCGCCTGGGCATTCAGCGTCCTACTCCCCAAACGTGTCCTTCCCAGGGCGGGATAGAGCCGGGGTCTAAATAACCCCAATCCCACCCCCACCCCAGTCCCAGCCACCACCAGGGACATCAGACACCCCCATCATGGGTCCTTTGCCTTCCCCCTTCAGTTCATCTCTCCCCAGCCCTCTCCTTTTGCCCTCTGGCTTAGCTGGCCAGTCCTGAATATTTTGCAGCCTGGCTGGGCTCAGAGGGGTGTCTGAAATCAACACCCAGAATAGCCGGATGCTGGTACCGGCTGGCCAGGCCTGGCAGGGTCCATCCACGCTGCCATCAAACCCCACAGCGCCGAGCCTCAGAGCCTGGGTCCATTGGGTCGGGCTCATGGGGCTTGGGCTGCGGGTCTTTCATTGCAGCGTGGACGTTTCCTCCAAGGTCTGTGTAGACATTCGGGGTTGGGCTGGGGCCTGGGCTCAGACATGGGGGGGAGGGACTCGGGGGTGGGATCCTTCTAAATCTCCCTTTGGCTGAAGGGAACAAGGGCCATCCTTACACTGATGCCTGATTTGATCCTTCACCTCGCAAAGGCGGCTGCTGATTTCCCCTCTGGCCTGGATCTGCAGCGCGAGGGTCACAGGCCATTTAATGGGGTTTCCCTGGGGCAGGGCAGGCCGAGGTCTCTGGGCACCGAGCCCGGAGCATGTTTAGTGCTGGACAGCGACTGGGTCCCATTAACACTTTGCCCCATATAGAGCATCCACTGATCCCGGCAGAAAGGGGAGGGGATGGAGGAGACACAGTGGGACAGCCTGGGGGGATCTCAGAGGGAACTGGGTTGGCTAGTCTCAGGCGAAATCCCAACGAGAGGGATTGGAATGGGGGTTGTGGATCGCAGCACAGGAGGATTCTGGGGCAGAGCAGGTCGGCGGTAGAGAGGGGAGCCATAGCCAAAGGGGGCAGGAAGGGGTTAAGATCCCAAGGGAGAAGGGGCTGCAGGGTGTGGAGAGAAGGGGCCTGGAGTAGAATTGGCTGAGGGTGCATGGTGGGGGGTGGGGATCCCAGCACAGGGCAGAGTTGGAGGAGGGGCTGGAGGGCAGGGCTGGAGAGCCCAAGGGGGTGGGGATCCCAGCAAAGGGCTGAGTTGGGCGTGGGACTGGAGGGCAGGGCTGGGGAGCCCAAGGGGGTGGGGATCCCAGCAAAGGGCTGAGTTGGGCGTGGGACTGGAGGGCAGGGCTGGGGAGCCCAAGGGGGTGGGGATCCCAGCAAAGGGCTGAGTTGGGGGTGGGGCTGGAGGGCAGGGCTGGGGAGCCCATGTGTGGGAACCCAGCAGAGGGAGTTGGGGGCCGGCATTGAGGGGCTGGGTGGGTCACTCACAGCTGACGTGGAGCTGGATGGTTCTGCTGGTGGAAGGTCCCTGTGGTGGGTAGTAGGTGATGTTGCAGACGAGCTCTTTGCCATTATCTCCCAGGGTGGGCGTGAAACGGAGTGCAGAGCTGTGGACCCAGGTGCCATTTGCCAGCTGGGCTGAGACGTTCTGAGCTGTGTCATTGAATGGCCCCATCCAGGTGACTTGGGGAGGGGACCCGGAGCAGTGCCCAGGGGCCTTACAGGTCACAGTCACTGGCTCCCCAGCCATCAGCGTCCCTGGCATCCCCCGTGTTGGCGAGATCTGGATCTCTGGCTTCTCCGTCAGCCCTGAGATACGAGGAGAGGAGAGAGAATTGCTCGGGGACATGGGGCATTTGCCCTTTAGCGTACTGGGTCCAATCCGGCCCCAGGACGGGGACTGGCTGGCTCAGGAGGGGCTGATGAGCAGTGTCATAAATATAGAGGGAAGAGTAACAACTTTATGTATCTAGTAGAATAAAATCCCTTTCTGGCAGCTGCACTAAATCGCCTTCCCTGTAAGGGATTAATCATCTCAAATAACCTAGCTGGCACCTTACCAGAAGGACCAATGAGGAAAGAAGATACTTTCAAATCTGTGGGGGTGGGGAGAGGATTTGTTTATTGCTCTCTCTTTGTTGTTCCCTCTCTGGACGGAGGGAGAAACCAGCAGGTACAACATCTCCTGAAAATATACCTGGAAGAATAGATCTAAACCCAGAGTAATTGTAAGGAGGCAGGGAAAGGCGTTAGGTTATCTTTTGTTTTAGCTTGTGAATTTTCCTATGCTACAGATGTAGTTTGATTCCTGTTTTTGTAACTGGGAAGCTGAGCGAGAGGGGAATCCTCTGTGTTTGAAATCTTTTATTTGCCCTGTGAAGTTACCTTCCAAACTGATTTTGCAGCTGTGATTCTTTTATATATATAAATAAAGTTCTTCTTTTAAGAACCTAATTGATTGTCAGTGTCCTGAAGACAAAGAATCCGGTCTGTGCTCACATTGCTAACCGATTGGTTGGTATATTATTCTCAAGCCTCCACAGGAAAGGGGGTGAAGGGGTTTGGGGGGATATTTGGGGGATAGGGATTCCAAGTTACCCTGCCCTGAATTTTTCTATAAATCTCTTGGTGGTGGCACCAATACCGTCCAAGGACAAGGGAAGGAATTTGTGCCTTGGGGAAGTTTTTAACCTAAGCTGGTGGAATATAAGCTTAAGGGGTCTTTCATGCGGGTCCCCACATCTGTACCCCAGAGTTCAGAGTGGGGGGAACCCTCACAAGCGGTGACTGCGGCTGCTCTTACCTGTCACAGAGATCGTGAGCGGAGGGGCAGTGCCATCGGAATTGGAGCGGTAAGTGTAATCTAACATGCCTTTCTCGATGTTAAGGAAATATCTCCCCGCATCCGTCCGTCGGGCATCACTGATTTGCAGGGAGCAGTCGCCGTGCACTGGATCCCCAGTCAGCCGGAACCGGCCCTGGGTCTCCTGCGACACCTTCACAGTGGTGAGACTGCAGGCCACAGGAGGATCCTGGCCCACAGTAGCAGGCTCCTTGTACCAGTTTTCGTATAGCTGGGCTGAGGGATTGTCGGTGTCATACGAGGCTGGGTACGTGAAGTTGCAGGGGACGAGAACGCAGAGACCCTCCTGCACGGACACCGACTGCGGCACTGCCAGGGTAAATCCGGGCTTCTGGGACAGGGACCCTGCAGGGGACGGGGAGGGATCAAAGTGGGACCCATAAAAAGCAGAGACCAACCCTGAGCTGCACACCCCAGCTCTGCCGGTTCCCCTCACTCCCGACCAACAGCTCCATGCGAGTCCAGCCCTGGGTCCTTGACCAATTCTCACTCCATTTAGTGTCCATTCCTCCCTCCATCGAGCCCCCTGCCCGCTCCCCATCACTCAGCGCCCCCTAGCACCTCATTGGGGCACTGAGCACCACTCCCCCTCTGGCCAGTCTCCCTTTCAAGTTCTGGGACAGACCTGGCCCTGCTTAGCGCAGGTTCTGCCCTTCCCCCTGCACTGGGGCTGCAGGTGTTGCTTACTTACCCCTCCAGAGCAGGGTGAGGATCAGGACCCTCAGCGTGGCAGGACCCCCTGCTCTCCAGAGGGGGCACTGAGGCGGGAGCTCCCTTTCCCCGGCGTCATGCTGTGGCAGCAGGGCTCTGCCCATGGCTGGGGCGTCCGGCTGGGACAGACCTAGAGACAGACGGGGGGTTAGAAGTGTGAGAGCAGAGGCTGTTTGGGGATGCAGATCTGTCTGGGGGACCATCAGTACTGCTGGGCTCTGCAGGGGGCTGAACTGGGGCTGTTGGCAGCGCAGTGACCCCCCCCCCCAAGTCCCCAAATCACCAGACGTTCCTGAGAGATCTTGGGCTAAAAAAATCCTTAAATTGGCAAAAAAAACCCTGAGATTTTCTCTAAGAATCATGACAGTGGCCAGTAAATCCTAATCTGGTGACAGAAGATGGTGGGAAGGCAGCGCTGCTCAGTGCCTGCTTTGCTTCAGTCTTCCCACAAAAAACCAACATGTGAGCAGGCAACCAACGAAGTTACCACGGACAGCAAAGGAGAAAGGCTGCAGATCGGGGTAAGTAAAGAACACGTCCAAGATGTTCCGACCAATTTGAATTACCGTATTTTCCAGCGTATAAGACGACTGGGCGTATAAGACGACCCCCAACTTTTCCAGTTAAAATATAGAGTTTGGGATATACTCGCTGTATAAGACTACCCCTCTTCCAACGCACACCAAAAAAAAATTAAAAAAGCATCAGATTTGATTTCAATATGGTAATTTTAATTCAAATGCTTATGACATGCAGGTACTTAGCAGGAAAACTGTCACTTATAAACATAAGGCTGTTTGTCATCAAACATGTAAACATAAAACAGTGCAAG